TAAACAATTTATTCTCTGTCGTCTGACTAAAACTGACTTGTACTACTGAAATAAAAATAATAAAAAATTATCAAGTTCTGTTTCTTTATAGAACTAACATTTTCTAATGAAATTGAAATAGAATAACCTTATTTCAACCTGACTAGAAGTGATCAATAAATTCAATTTTAAAACTTAATTTTAATCTGTCTGACTGAAACTGACTCTGACTACTGAATCAAAATTATCACTTATATCTTTATTTCACAATTTTAAAATACCTAAGTTTTGTCTGTCTAAAACTCAGATTCTCTACTCAATTTAAAATAAAAAAAAATTTTACTCTATCGACTGTAAAAATTTATTTCTACTACTGAAATCAGAATACTAGAAGATTGTCAAGTTCTGTTCCACAGAAACTTTTTTTATTTTTTTTTTACTGAAGGGAAAATATTACGAATGCCAAAGTTTTGTGCGCCTAAAACTCATTTTTTCTACTCAAAACAAAATAGAAACAACTTTTTGTCTACTTACAATTAGAGTTGCCACGCTTTTGCTCTTTTCAAATTCCCTGACTTTTCCAAGTTTTCCAGGTTTTTAAAACGAAAATTATTCGGAAACATCAATAACTTCATTTTTAAATAAATGTTTAATCATTTTTTTTTAATAGAAATTAAGATATTCAAAAAATTTTAATTCAATAACATATCAGAATATTATTATAAAACATAAAGATATCGATCACTAGTCTTCGACTCGAAGTGAACGCTTTCTTCATGTTTTACAATAATTAAAACCTGATACTTTGTTATTGTAACTTCTTCAAAAAATTATTTTCATCATTACGATTATTCATTTCTAGAATTTTTAACTGAAATCCTTCTTTAAGTCAATTTTTTAAAAATAATTTTTGAAAAAGTTCTTTGTGAATTTTTAAACTCTTTTGTTTACAATTTAATTTTACGAAATTTCAATCATTCTGACATTCTTCAATTAAATATATTAGAAATTAAAAACTGCAAATAATTACAAAAAAGTCCATTAAAATTAATGTTGAAAATTAATTCTATAGAATTCTTAATTAAAAGTATGAAAAGTTCAAATTTTCAAAGATTTTAATTTGAAATTCATTTTTAAATCAATATTTATTAGAAAATTCTACGAGAATTCAATTATTTAATTATAAAAATAAATATTTTATAAAACAATTGAATGTTTCATAAAATTAAATTTTCACAAAGAATTTTGTCAACAAATTTTTAAATAAATTATAGAACTGATCGCAGCGTTTCAATTATTTTTTATGCAATTATAATTGAATTCCTTGAAAAAAGTAATTATGCTTATGCAAGTTTTAATGAAATTCGACAAAAGAATTCAATTATATAAAAATTTGTTAATAAAATTCTTTATGAGAATTGAGTTTTGAGAAACATTCAATTATTCAATAAATTATTTACTTTTGTATTTAAATAATTAAATTCTTGTAGAATTTTCTAATAAAAATTGATTTTCATTTCATAAAAATGAATTTCAGTTAAAATTTTAGATTATAATTGAATATTAAAAGCAATTATGCGTGAATTTTTAGAAATAATTGAATTTTGAAATTAATTTTTTTGAAAAAGTTTAATTGAATTTTTTAAATATTATTTGAAGTTTTTATTTTCTAATATGCATTTAATTAAAGAATTTAGGAATAATTGAAATTTCGTGAAATTAAATATTGTAAACAAATGGATTTGATAATTGCCAAAGAACTTTTTCGAAAATTATTAAAAATAATTGATATAAAGTAAAATTGTAGTTAAACATTTTTGAAAATAATAATTGAATTGAAATAATGAAAATAATTTTGAAGAAGTATAATATTCTTATAATATAAAATAATTATTTTATTACTTGGTCATCTTTAATTATTAGAAAATATGAAGAAATCTATCACTCCGACTCGATGACTCGGAGTTATCGATATCTTCATGTTTTATAGTTATAAAAAATTTAATGAACTAAAATTCCATTCATTATTGTAAAAAATAACATTAAAATTGATTATTTTAATCTTTTTTGGTGTTAATTTAATCTGCAACACTTTTTAATACATCACGATTTACTGTGTTGGTAATTTTTTAGTATTCTGATTTCAGTAGTAAATGACAATTTTATTCAGACAATAGAGAATAAATTATTTAAATTTTGAATTGAGTGGAGAATCTGGTTTTTAGGGAGACAAAACTTAGGTATTTTAAAATTGTGGAATAAAGAAATAAGTGATAATTTTGATTCAGTAGTTAGGGTCAATTTTTGTCAGACAGATTAAAATTGATTTATTCGATTTCAACTTCTGCAGAGAAAGTTAGTATTTGAATCTTTCGATTTGAGTAGATACAATATTTTTAGTCAGTCAGAATCCTTAATTATTTTCTAGTTTTACTGTCGAAGGTAAAAAAACAAATTATTTAGAAGTTAAAATATTTATTTTACTTTGGTTTCAGTCAATTTAATTTTAAAAAATAGTTTTAGTTAGACAGTAGAGAAAAAATGGGCTTTAAGTTTAAATATAACTCGAAAAACATATATTTTGGTTTCAGTAAAGTCACTTTCAACCGAAAAAAATTAATACTATTTTTTTGTTACTAGAAAAAGTATTTTTTAGTCAGACATATACTTATTAAAATTGTGCTATTTCCAGTAGTTAAAGCTAGTTTTAGTCAGTCATAAGTACACAGAAAAAACTTGGACTCATTTTTGTTGCAACTCAAAATGAGTCCATGTTAAATGACATAGAACGTGGCGCCATCTGCCCTACTCATTTCACAGGCACACAAAAAAAAAAGTTGTCTGTTCATTGAACCAGACCTACATGTCTTATAGTATTTTAACCCCCTGAATACGAATATGAAGTCAGAATTGCTCCATCACCCTCTGTTTTTTTTTAAATCGAAAAAACTACCCTTAAGTCTAAAATTCAAGAACTAAATTTAAAAAAATGAAATAACCGCGGTTTTCTTCTGAGTAGAAGAATATATTTATGCGTATTTTTCTTTCAACAACTTAGAAATAATGTCAAAATTGCTCCATCACCCCCTGTGTTTTTTGAATCGAAGAATCTACCCTTAAATCAAAAATTCAAGAACTAAATTTAAAAAAAATGAAATAACATTATTTCTGAGTTGTTGAAAGAAGAAAACGCATAAATATATTCTTCTACTCAGAAGTTAACCGCGGTTATTTAATTTTTTTAAATTTAGTTCTTGAATTTTTGATTTAAGGGTAGTTTCTTCGATTTAAAAAAAACAGGGGGTGATGGAGCAATTTTGAAATTATTTCTGAGTTGTTGAAAGAAGAAAACGCATAAATATATTCTTCTACTCAGAAGTTAACCGCGGTTATTTAATTTTTTTAAATTTAGTTCTTGAATTTTTGATTTAAGGGTAGTTGCTTCGATTTAAAAAAAACAGGGGGTGATGGAGCAATTTTGAAATTATTTCTGAGTTGTTGAAAGAAGAAAACGCATAAATATATTTTTCTACTCCGAAGGAAACCGCGGTTATTTCATTTTTTTTAATTTAGTTCTTGAATTTTAGACTTAAGGGTAGTTATCTCGATTTTAAAAAAAACAGTGGGTGATGGAGCAATTCTGATTCATATTCGTATTCAGGGGGCCAAAATACTATAAGACATGTAGGTCTGGTTTAATGAACAGACAACTTTTTTTTTGTGTGCCTGTGTTTTTGTTGCAGCTCATAATGAGTCACTTTTCCGACTCATTTTGAGTTCAGTTTTTTTCTGTGTAGTAAGCTGTCTTGTTATCAAACTTTCTTATACATTTCCACTATTTTTTCATAGTGGAAAGAGATATTTTAAGTCAGACAATTTATTTAAAAATTGTAATATATTTTTCGGTACAAGTAACAAAATAGTAAGAAAATAGTAGTAACAAAACAGTAGTGGTAAAAAATAGTAGTAGTAACAAAATAGTGATAGTAAGAAAATAGTATAAGTAACTAAATAGTAGTAGTAAGAAAATAGTAGAAGTAACAAAATAGTATTAGTAATAAAATAGCAGTAGTAGTAACAAAGTGTTAATATTAAAAGAAGTAGTAGTCGCAACAAACTATAGTAGTAGCAAAAAAGTGCTAGTAAGAAAATAGTAGAAGTAAGAAAATAGTAGTAATAATAAAATAGTAGGAGTAACAAAGTATTAATATTAAAAGAAGTAGTAGTCGCAACAAACTGGTAGTGGCAAGAAAATAGTAGAAGTAACAAAATAGTAGTAGTAATAAAATAGTAGAAGTAACAAAATAGTAGTAATAATAAAATAGTAGAAGTAACAAAATAGTAGTAGTAAGAAAATTGTCGAAGTAACAAAATATGTATTATTAGTAATAAAATAGTAGTAGTAACAAAGTATTAATAGTAAAAAAGTAGTAGTCGCAACAAACTAGTAGTATCAAGAAAATAGTAAAAGTAACAAAATAGTAGTAGTAATAAAATAGTAGAAGTAACAAAATAGTAGTAGTAATAAAATAGTAAAAGTAATAAAATAGTAAAAGTAACAAAATGGTAGTGGTAATAATAAAATAGTAGTAGTAATAAAATAGTAGAAGTAACAAAATAGTGGTAGTAATAAAATAGTAGAAGTAACAAAATATTAGTAAGAAAACAGTGGAAGTAACAAAATATTATTAGTAATAAAATAGTAGTAGTTATAAAATAGTAGAAGTAACAAAATAGTGGTAGTAATAAAATAGTAGAAGTAACAAAATAGTATTAGTAATAAAATAGTAGTAGTAACAAAGTAGCGACAGAATTAAAATAGTTTTAGTAAGAAAATAGTTTTTATTTTTAGAAGAAAAGTTGTTGCCTACTATTCATGAAATAAATATAAACATGTATCTATTTCGCATATTAGATTATTTCCTGACAGTAACATATGTATCGATAAAACAAGAAATCGAAAGTAAAGAAAAAACAAGGGAGGAAGAGAAACTGGTTGTTATGCAGAAAAGAAGACTCACATAGGCAAAGTTGTAGTATCGCTGCAAGAAGTGCTACAAGTTTATGCGCTGCCATGAGACTTTGAAACTCCAGTCAGCAATCTGAAAAACAAAAAATCGTATTTAAGTAGCAAGCTGGCGGTAGAATTTTGCGTCTCTGCTTTTGCAATCTGTTCGCGCGGTGCTTCATTTCAAATCGAGTTAATTAGGAATTTTATTCCCCCCATCCCCCCTCCCTCCCTCTCTCCCCACCACTATGCCACGGTGCGCTGTGGAAAGTATAACTACGCCACACTGCTTACGGATTATACACGTTGGAAAACGGTCGCGCAGATATTAGTACTAAACGATGTCTGAATGCCAGGAATGGACGGTATTCTCCCGGCATCGTATTTCAAATGGGTTCTTAAGGAAGATTAATTCTTTTATAAGCCTTGGAAAATTCGAAATCCTGCAAGATTTGTCTTACCATTTTCAAAGCTTGTTTCTTTATTTCTTTTCTTTTTTTTCACCCTAAAGAGAGAAGGAGAGAGGACCTTTTTATCAAATTTTTATTTTCGATGTTAGTCGATTATTTTTTGGATTCAGATGTTTCGTTTGTAAATTATGATCTGGTGGTAGTTAACAATGGAAATAATTTATTTCATTCTGATAATTGATTATTAATTGTCTATTTACAAATAGATATTTACTTGAACAGAATTGACACAAGAATTTTATTTTATTTGTCCCTGACTTTTTCCTGATTTCTAGACAGTTTTTTCACCTTTTTTCCCTGACCCTAAAGAATATTTTATTTTACTTTAAAAATAATTGTATAAACATCAATAGTTGTTTATACAAATGTTTACTAGTTTGTTTTCAGTAGTTAAAGTCAATTTTAGTCAGACAGAGAAAAAATTGTTTTTTATTTTGGTTTGAGTAGAAAAAATGAGTTTTAGGCGTACAAAACTTTGGAATTTGTAATTTTTTCCCTTCAGTAGAAAAATAAAGTTAGTTTCCGAAGGATAGAACTTGACAATTTTGTAGTATTTTGATTTCAGTAGTGAAAATCAATTTTTGTCAGACGATACAAAATACATTTTTTTTATTTTGAATTGAGTAGAGAATCTATCTGGGTTTTAGATAGACAAATCTTAGGTATTTTAAAATTGAGGAACAAAAAAATAAGCTATAATTTCAATTCAATAGTCAAATTAAATTTTAGTCAGACAAAAAGAAATTAAAAGAAAAAAAATGAAATTAAAATGAAACTTTTTTTGGCTTTAGTAGAAAAAGTTAGCTTCAAAGATGGATAAAAAAAATTATATTATTAAGGATTCAGTAGTTAAGGTCAGTTATGGTCAGACACAACTTTATAACTTCAGTAGTTCAAATCATTTTTAGTCAGACATTAGTAGAGTAAGTAATTCTAGGTAGATTAAGAATTTGCAAAATGCTATAATATTATTAAAATTCTAATACTATTTTGAGCGAAGTAGAAAAATCGTTTTTTAGTCAGACAAAATCATACATCATTCAGAAATATCTTGAAATATTTGAATGTTTTGATTTAAGTAGATACAATATTTATATTTAGACTGAATCTTAATTTTTTTTCACTTTTTCTGTGGAACATAGAAATTCAGACAAATAGTAATTAAAAATGTTTATTTCACTCTGGATTTCGTTGTTTCAATTTTATAAAATTTACAAGTAGTAAACATCATTTTCAGTCAGACATAAGTTGTAACGTTTATTATATTTTGATACTAGTAAATTTAAATTTAAAAACATTTTGTTCAAGAAAAAAAGAATAGTTTTTGTTAGACAGAACAAGAAAAGTTAGGAATATTTTGTTTTTAGTAGTAAGAGGCAGTTTTAGTAAGACTTTAATGGTGTTTAAAATTTTATTTCGTTTTTAAGTAATGAAATTTCAACAATTTGAAAATTTTTCAATTAAATATGTATTCAACAATTCAACTGGTTTAAATAAATTGTTAATAAATAATTTCTAAAGAATAACTACTTCAAAATTTTTAACTATTTATTAAAATTTAAATTTTATAGAACTTTAATTTAAAATCTTTTGAAGTTTTCATCTTCCATTTTGTTATTTTTGTAACTTTTTTATAATTTCAAATCTGAAATAATTTAATTCTTGCACAGTTTTATTAATATTTTTGAAAATAGTTGAAATGTTTAGAAGAATTTTGATGCGATTTTTTTAAAATAATTAAAATTCTTTCTTTCGAATTCTTTTATTATTTTAAACTTTTATTATGAAAATAATTGTATTGATAATAATTCAATTCTCTTAGAGAATTATTTTAAAATTTATCAAAAATAATTGAATTCTTATAATTAATTTTGTAAAACTTTTTTAAAATAATTAAAAATTCCACTGTATATAGAATTTCATTAAAATAATTATATTAAAAATAAATGAATTCATCTAAAGAATTTATTAAATTTTTTTCGATAAATTTTATAATATATTGAATTCCTGCGAAGACTTATTATTCATGAAAATAATTGACTTCTTTGCAATATTTTTTCGATAAATTTAATTAAAATTGTATTAAAAATAATAATATTCTTATGTAGAATTTTATTTAAAATAATTGAATTTACGAGAAGAATTTTTCTATTTATGAAAATAATCGAATTCGTGTGAAGATTTTTATTAAAATTTTTTTAAAATAATTTAATTGTTTTGAAGAATTTTATTAAAGTTTTTGAAAATTAACTATAGTAATTAGAATGTTCTTTCATTGTTTCATTCTTTCACTTTTTTTTCCCTCAAACTCTGAAGTTGTCTTTTGTTTATACTTTTGTTTTTTGTTATCTTTAGACAGATTGTATATTATATTATTATGTTATAATTATTTTTATTTTATAATTAATTCGAAATTGAAATCGTCAGAATTTTTTTCACTTCTTTTCATTAAAAGACTAAAATTTTGTTAAATGCTATGTTTTCTCAAATTGAAATTATGCAGATTTTTGTTCTTTACTTCTAAGGAAAATTAAAAAATTGTTAAAAACTGTGATTGAGAAATAGAAAATTTATTTATTTTGCATTATTTTTCTATATGATTCACAATTTCCTTAACAAAATTATTTTTTTGTTTTAGAAAAAGAAGAAAAATATTTGCAAAATTCCTATTTTTAATATTATTTTTGGAACAGGATTTTCTACAGAAATTAAGACATTCAAAAATTTTAAATTCAAAACTTTTTTAAGTTAAACAACTTATAAAAGTATTGTTATAAAACATAAAAGATATCGATTGCTCCGAGTCAGAAGATTCGGAGTGATCGATCTCTTCATGTTTTCTATTAATTAAAGATCACCGAGAGATAATATCATTATTTTATATTCTAAGAATATTGTTACTGTAACTTTATTAAAATTATTTTCATCATTTTAATTCAATTATTATTTTCTAGAATTTTAAATTATTTTTTATGAAAATAATTAAATTACTTAAAAAAAATTTTATTATTTATGAAAATAATTGAATCACTTATAAAAATTTTATTATATTTATGAAGATAATCGAATTCCTGTGAAATTTTTATTTATGATAATAATTAAATGTTTGCATACAATTTTATGAAATTTTTTTTTAAATAATTGAATTCTTTTTTTTTCTTTTTTTTGGAAATTTGATTAAAATAGTAGATATTGGAAATCATTGAAATTAGAAGATTTTTTGAAAATAATTAAAATTAGGACAAGAATTTTTTCGATATTTATGAAAATAATTGAACAAATAAGAATTTTGTTATTTATAAAAATAATCGGGATTTTTACGAGAATTTTTTTTCAAATTTTGAACACAGTTGAATTTTATAAGAAGAATTTTATTTTTTTTTAAAATAATTGAATTTCTGCAATTATTTGTAATTTCTCCAAAATTGAATTTTTTTAGTGTTTTCAAAAAAAATGTAAATTAGAAAAATTTTTTAATTCTATTAGTTTTAAAATTGCTAATTTTATTTAAAAAAAAAGGCAGCGAGAAGTTTTCTAATTGTTGATCGTAATATATATTGATAATAATAATTTATTAGTAAGTAAATGAATTTTTTAATTTCCCTGACCTATGGCAACCTTGTTGAATCAAATAACTTTTACTTATTTAAATAAATTAAAAATCTAATGAATTTTATTTCAAGTAATAATTTTAGTATTTGAATCAATTGTCGTGACTTAAAAATTTATTCTAATATTAATTAATATTAGTTAAGTGATAAATTATTTTATGCAAATATAATAAATGTGTATTTCTTCCAAGTCTCTTATAGAATTAGAATATGCATAAATAATAAATGATAAACTTTGTATTTTTTCTACTTGAGGAAATTTGAAAAAAATAGTGTAGATGGAAAAATGAAATATGACATTTTCGAGTTGAGTGAACAAAAAAAGAATCTTGTACGTCGATCAGATTTTTTTCTCTCCCTCTTCAGATTCGTAAGTGTTGAGAAAAAGGCGATGGAAAAATGAAGTTCCGGTGTTGATCGTATAATTCGGCAATTTTTCAGTGACCATCGGCAATGGATTTTTCTCGATGGAAAATGGAATTGGCGTATCAAAGTGAGTTCGTCATAGGTGCTTTGCGGTACGTGCCTCAGTCACCCGTCACTGATTTCGCGGAGTATATGATATATATATATATATATATATATATATATATATATATGTATATATATATATATAGTAGTCACTTTTTCGAGAATGCCATAAGTTATGAGTTTCAAGCTCCATGAATGTATGCATGGAATATAGAAAACTTGATGCTTTTTTATATGCATTGAAAGGAAAACCTGATAAGGAATGCAACGGCTCTTGGTTTTACAAAGTCCGGGCAAGTACCCAATCATTTAATCGCTACCGTTCCGTGACGTTATTCTATTGTTCGATGCGTCAACGGGGAGAAGGGTTTTTGCTGCGCGCATCGTGCTTTTTATCAAAAAACGTTCTCCTGAATTCTTTATAGTGCCCGATTAAATTCTAGCTTTTACCCGTTCTCTCCCTCTCTCCTCACACTCTCTCTCTCTCTCTCTCTCTCTCTCTCTCTCTCTCTCTCTCTAGATAAATACCATTCAACAACATC